TGGTGGCAGTTATGATGTACAAGAGACTGAGTTTCTGTATGAAGCGCAGGCCATATCTAAAGTTGATAGTACTTTGCACTGAGCTGCTGGTCAGTTAGATTTTGTTGAAAATAGAAAACATACTGGAAAAGGTTATACAGAGACAGGGTTTATGGATCTGGGCAATGATGAAATGCTTACAGAAGCTTATACAAACTGTAGTCTTATCAAAGGACCACTGCACAAGATACTGAGTCTCTACCTCCTTTGTTAGTGCCATCCTGGATGTTACATCAACTTAGGTACGGTACAAAAATTCCTATGATTAGGAAGCATGCAGATGCTAATATTTTATCTTATAAAAAAAGGCCATCTCTAGTATTATTATTGTTTTCCTTCCCCCTAATAATTTTCTTGGCCCAAGATCTTAAAACATAACAAAATGACGATTCCGTCATGATAAGAATAAAAAAAGAACATTTCAGAAAGTGCCTCAAAATAAAAATATGTTCACTTTGAAGAAACAAATCCATTTAGTATCCCCAGTAATTACAGCAGGAGTAAAGGAAGAAGTCAGGTGATATTGGAATAGAATGAGAGTCTGAGTAGCGAGAAATTAGGGGTGGAAAGATGAGAGACAGCTGTTTGTTTCTAACTTCTAATCATGTGTCAATGTTATGAAACTGTCATGAAAGCCACCAAATAAGTGAACCTATCCTCATAAACAAAACAGAAAATGAAATAGAAATATGGGTGAAAAAATAAATAAATAAACAGAAGACTTTTCTCTGCTCTCACTCTAAAAACTTTGACTACCATCCTTTCAGCAATAAGAACAATTGCATTACCCTCTGCCTTCCTAATTCCCCTTGTCCCGAATAATTTCTGTATAGTCTCCCACGCAAATGAATCTCCAGAGTATCCATTCAAATTTAAGGATTACTTTGACTCCCACTGTTTTCTAAAATAAGTTTAAAATTGTAACATGTGTAGCTCAACACACTAGTGTTTTTAGCTACTGCCTTTCATTACAGACACCCTTAACATCTCCCTGAGCTCGGAGACCAAGGAAAATGAGAAAACAGGCAGATGAAAATGGAAGCAGACAAACGGTATCAAAGGATAATACAGCTTTGAATAAGAGGACGAAGACAGTTTCTTCACAGTTTTCATCTCAAATTTTTGATATCCCACAGAACCGTTGCTTTTTTTTACCCCCTGGTTTTAAATTTATGGGACAATCAGTAGTATTAGCATTGCTTGACTGAACTTGGAAAATAGCGCCTCTTCCTACTTGAACTGATAGTTATACTTTAAAAGAAGCACCTTATTTTCTCCCCTGTGTCAAATCATTCCAATATTTAATTCAGTGCTTAACAGGCTACAGAGTGGAGCGCAACGTGTTAGATTTATGCCAAGTGTTGCGAGGCTAGTGTGCCTTATTCATAATGCTTTCATATTTCATAAAAACAGCTCAAGCAGAATGAATTGAACATTGATGTGTTCTTCATTCTAACTTTATTTCCTTTTGTTACAAGTCCATTAAATCCATTGGGAGTTTGGGGGTTGGGGTTTAAGTCCTTGAGCTTCACCTTCTTTTTATTGTGTATGAAAGAATAAGTGTGGCTATGAACTAAACACTGCTCTCCTTGTTTCTTCTGAGGTGCAATAAACAGGAACTGTATTCACAAACATTTAGACAACACTTAGCCTTTCTTATACTGAAAAAATTCAGAAAGATTTGTATCTTAGAGAAGGTAGAGGAGATGCAACAAGAAAATGTGATTGGTCAATCAAGAAAATAAGATCAGCACACTGTCTTTAGTGTTTCAGAGCAAACTTTGGGATGACTGCAGGCTGTAGTCTTATGTACTGTAAATAATTCTATTCATATAGTCTGAAAGGTGCACATGTGGATCATAAATGTATTGTAATAATATATCGAAATATGGTAATGTTTAAGAATTCAAATTTGCACTTTAGTTTAGGCTATCTCAATGTTAATTTAAAGCCAGTATGTTTGGATTTTTTTTTTTTTTGCCACAGTAGCAATGTCCCTCAAGGGATGGCAATGTCAGCAGCTTGGTCAGTCAGTCCATCACTTTAGCCCAGACCTAAGTATTGGGTGTATTACTGTTACATTTTGTACAGACATTCATGGCTAATAATAATCACCTTTATTTGGCCAAGTACTGTATATTACACACAAGGAATTTGTTTCCAGCACAGAACCAAGGCAGCTATCTGCAGCGCCAACTCAACCAATGGCTCTAACCCTTGGGGGCAACTTGGGGGTTCAGTGTCTTGCCCAAGGACACTTCGACACATGGACTGCAGGCACCGAGATTCAAACCTCTGACCCTCCGGTTGGGAGACAACTGCTCTACCCACTGAACCACAGTCACCTCCTATAGGGATGCTGTGTTTCAGAGAAAACCAAAGTTCTGGAGGATACAGACAATGATCCCACTACCTTTCGCATGCTAAGCGAGCACTCTACCATTTGAGCTAATCCCCCACCGACAAGTGGGGTCAGTAGGTTTCTGCACCGAGGAAGAAACCCACTGACTTTGCCTCTGGCATCACTGTTAAGGTTTTGAGCAACATGTCCCAACACTTATGGTATGTTGCCCTCAGGATGAATCCCATAATAAGTTGGTGTCTCCCTACCATCATCTGGTCAGAATTTCACTTTGTCCAGAAAATCTTCAATTAAGAAGTGTTAGGACGCTAACATACTAATGGATGTAATAAACGTCACACCTGCATAACATCTGCACACAGCGTTGTCAGTTTGACCATGCTGACCATATTGATGTGAACATTTTCCCCTTTGTATTCCTCCTAATTAGGGCTGTTGCATTTTTGTCATGTCAGTATTTCAAACTCTTCTTGGAGCTCAGTATCACCACCAAGACCAACCTGTGGTGATATAGACCAAAGCTTCTTCAAACAAAGAGGTCTTCAACATGGAGCAGCAAGGTCAACTATACAATTTCCTTTAGCCTTAGTGCTCTCTCCAATCATTAGTGTGTATTGCTCTCAGTGGCAGTCTGGATGGGTTCCAAGAGGAAACTCTTAGCTAGCAACATTTAGTGCCATTCAGGAGAACTCCTGGTGGTAAGATAAAATACACTGTGAGTAAAATCCCTTGACACAAATAAGCACTTATCTTCTGTACTCACAGAACAGGATTGAGAGTGGCCACTTGACACTGGGAGTTATTTATGAAAAATAAATTTATTTCTATTTGTCTGTCTCTGCCTGTGTGTGTAGAGAGATAGCTATCAAGAGAGAAAGAGAGCCAAGCATAGCAGTGGGCTTCACACTGTCATTGTCAATGGACAGCCATGCACATCTTTCATCAC